GAGAAGACTCCTGCGAGTCCCCTGGATTGCAAGGCCATCAAACCGGTCAGTCCTAGAGGAGATCAACCCCGACTGCTCTTTAGAAGGCCAGATCCTGAAGTTGAAACTCAAATATTTTGGCCACCTAATGAGAAGGAAGGACTCACTGGAGAAGAGCCTCATGCTGGGAAAGATTGAGGGCAAGAGAAGAAGGGGACGACAGAGAAGGAGGTGACTGGATGGAGGCACTGAAGCAGGAGGGGTGAGCTTAAATGGACTCCAGAAGATGGTAGAAGACAGGAAGGACTGGAGGAACGTTGTCCATGGGGTCGCGATGGGTCGGACACGACTTCACAACTAACAACAGCAACAGCCTACTTTTCATTTTAGTTGTTACACATATTAGTGGAAAACATTTTTATTCCACCAAGTCAGATCAATTCTCTCCCCCCCCATAGGTCTATTGTAACTTCAAATGGTTGCTAAGGGACCGGTCGTAAGTTGCAAACTACCTGTAGGTAGTTTTCCCCGTGGACGAAGTGATACGTATCTAATTCTCTCTTATTGTCCAGCTCGCTTCAAACAATACCTAACTAAATCTGCAGTTAACAGACATTTGCCTGTGGAGAAGCAGCATTTGGCTGATGGAACGTTTTCTTTTTCGTTTTTTTAATATGTATGTGCGTGCGTGCGTGCACACGTATTTATTTATTTTTTGGCACTCCCAGCAATCTAAAGGGCATGTTACTACTTTGACAGCCTGTTTTTACATCAGGTGAATCGACAGAAGGACCAAAAAGTGTCAGACAGCAGAATGAGCAGCGTAACGTAGCCACAAAATTAATGATTATAGTAATTAGGAAGAAAAATAATAACTGGAATAAAACAAAGGGGTGAAAGCCTGCAAAGTGTTGTTAAACAGCTCCAAAAACTGTGACCGTGTTGCCTGAAAGTCGCTTCCCTTGTCTTTTGTCAAAATAATGATAACTCTTCAACGGTTGACAACCAACACATATTGCTATGGGTCAAATGTAGATTTCTTCTTCCAAAATTGGATAATAATTAGTTTAACCTGCTCTCATTCGTTCCTCCCCCCCCCAGGCTGAATTTGTGTTATTGCCACTTTTGAAGCTGAAATCAGCTTCACATTAATAATGTGAGTTTGCCGTCTCTTCCTGCGGGGGAACGATGCATATATTCTTGGTTAAATCCCTCGTGCAGGTAGTCCTCAACTTACAACGGTTCGTTTAGTGACCATTCAAAGCTAGCACAGCACTGAAAAAAAGCGACTTATGACCGCTTTTCACACTTAACGACCGTTGCAGCGTCCTCACGGTCACGTGATCAAAATTCAGACGCTTGGCAACTGATTCATCTTTATGACGGTTTCAGTGTTCCAGGGTCACGTGTTCCCCTTTTGTGACCTTCTGACAAGCAAAGTCAATGGGGGAAGCCAGATTCATTTAACAACCATGTTACTAACTTAACTGCAGTGATTCACTTAACAACCGTGGCAAGGAAGGTCGTAAAATGGGGCAAAACAAAACTCGACAAATGTCTCGCTTAGCTACAGAAATATTTGGTTCAACTGTGGTCGTAAGCCGAGGACTACCTGTATTTGGGATCCAGCACAAAGTCGTTAGAATGGAGTTTTGGGGACATGGGAAAGGGTTAACTTTAACAAAACATTTAAGAAAATACTCTTGTGTAGTTAAGTTCTATTAAAGGGGAGGAGACTAGCGGAGAGAAGGGAATTGCTCCCCAATAAGAGCAGGGTGGGCAGTGACATCCCTTTTAAATTTAAGAGTCCTTGGTGCGAGGATTTTGGAACAGATGAAGGACTAGCCACACAGCTGGAAAGAAGGAAGGAAGGAAGGAAAGGATTAACCCAGAGCAAGATTGGCTCTCCTGTGCTTAGAGATATCCAGGAGTGAAAGAAATGGCGATGATTTCTTTGGTATTCCTGCTCAGTTTGATCTGTTGTAGCTGCAGTAAGTCAGATTTTTCTTTGTACGTGTGTTTGTGTATGTGTGTGTGTGTATGTGTATGTGAAGTCACCTATAATATTTCATATGTATATATTTCTTCCAAATTTTCAATTCATAAAAGCATTCATGCATATGCTTATAGCTAATACTGCATCCAGTTTTGGTCACCGCGATGTAAAAAAGATGTTGAGACTCTAGAAAGAGTGCAGAGAAGAGCAACAAAGATGATTAGGGGACTGGAGGCTAAAACATACAAGGAACGGTTGCTGGAATTGGGGATGTCTAGTTTAATGAAGAGAAGGACGAGGGGGGACAGGATAGCAGTCTTCCAATATCTCAGGGGCTGCCACAAAGAAGAGGGAGTCAAGCTATTCTCCAAAGCGCCTGAAGGCAGGACAAGAAGAAGCAACGGATGGAAACTGATCAAGGAGAGAAGCAACCTAGAACTAAGGAGAAACTTCCTGACAGCTAGAACAATTAACCAGTGGAACTACCTGCCTCCAGAAGCGGTGAATGCTCCAACACTGGAAGTTTTTAAGAAGAGACTGGACAGCCATTTGTCCGAAATGGTAGAGGGTTTCCTGCCTGAGCAGGGGGTTGGACTTGATGATCTCCAAGGTCCCTTCCAACTTTATTATTATTATTATAATCTGAATTTAGTTGTGAGGAGACCTGGGGAAGAGAGTCAAAAACTGAATAGCACTTTGCAGCACAGACAGTGAACATCGATTGCCATTGGATATGTGAGTCATTTTACCATAGATACATTTTGAAAACTGGACCAAAAAAAGCAATAAGAGGTGTAATTTGCTGCATTGATCGATTGCCATTTTATTTTACTCTGCCTTTCTTGCTATAAGTTCAGAAATAGAATCAGAAAGTTTTAGGTTGGCTTTGTACAATACACTTAACATGATTGTAGAATAGGTCCATCTTCTGGGTCTGCATAGTTTATTAAAGCATCAATTAATTTTTTCCAAGGACCTGTTTCCCTGTGATTTCATCCCCAGATTTATCCTTGAGAGCACTGGAGATTCAGCCTTCACCTTTGGCAGAGCAGACAACAGAGTAACAGAATTGGATGGGACTTCTGAGGTTTTCTAGTCCAACCCATTTTGCTATCTAGTCTCATCTTGAAAGCATCCCCAATCTCTGGAGGCAAGATGTTCCACTGATTAATTGTTCCCGTGGTCAGGAAATTTCTCTCTAGTTCTAAATTTCTTTGATCAGTTTCCATCTCTTTCTTCTTGTTTCTGCCTTCTAGGTGCTTTGGAAAATAAGTTGACCCCCCTCTTCTTTGGGGCAGCCCCTCAAATATTGGAACACTGCTAGTTTGTCATCCCTGGTCCTTCTTTTCATTAGATTAGATTTTTTTCCCCAATTCCTGCAGCAGTTCTTCATACGTCTTCAGATATTTCAAGACAGAAAGGCAGGATGTAAGAAAAAAGAATAACTAAATAGCAATAGCACTTGAGCTTATATACCAGTGGTGGCGAACCTATGGCACGGGTGCCAGAGGCGGCACTCAGAGCCCTCTCTGTGGGCACGCGCGCTGTCGCCCCAGTCCTAGGCCTTCAGCTGGGTTTTATAAAACCTTTTTGCTTTAGGCCTCCACCACCATGAACAAAAAAAAAGGTTCAATCAATCAGTCAATTTCAACTTCTCGCAGGAAAAAAAAAGATCTTGCAAAGTTGGAATTGATTGATAGAACTTTTTAGTCCCACCCAGTCTGCTGTTACCACCGCAGCCACGCTCACCCAATGGGTCACACCCACCCGGCACCCGACGATGCATAAGTGGGTTTTGGGTTGCAGTTTGGGCACTCGGTCTCTAAAAGGTTCTCCATCACTGTTATATACCGTTTCACAGTGCTTTACAGCCCTCTCTGAGCGGTTTACAGAGTCAGCCTGTTGTCCCCACTACAATCTGGGTCCTCATTTCACCCACCTCGGAAGGATGGAAGGCTGAGCCAACCTTGAACCCCCTCAGGATCGAACTCCTGGAGTGAGCAATGAGTTAGCCTGCAGTATTGGATTCTCACCACTCCACTACCACGGCTCTTAAATGTTAATCCAGGATCTCCTGCACTGTAAAGCAGGGAGTCTTCAAACTCGGCCCTTTTATGACTCGTGGACTTCAACTCCCAGAATTCCTGAGCCAGCCATGCTGAGGGGAAAGAGAGAGGTTTCCAAGCTGAGCCATGCTGGCTCAGGAATTCTGGGAGTTGAAGTCCACGTGTCATAAAACAGCCAAGGTTGCCTACTTCTGCTCTAGAAGTTTCTACTAGATCAGGGGTAGGCAACCTTGGCCCTTTTATGACTCGTGGATTTCAACTCCCAGAATTCCTGAGCCAGCCATGCTGAGGGGAAAGGGAGAGGTTTCCAAGCTGAGCCATGCTGGCTCAGGAATTCTGGGAGTTGAAGTCCACGAGTCATAAAAGGGCCAAGGTTCCCCACCCCTGCTATTAGACCAACTCTAATCCGGTGGAACTACTGGTTTGTACCTTTAGAGCAGGGGTCTTCAAACTTGGCCCTTTTATGACTTGTGGACTTCAACTCCCAGAATTCCTGAGCCAGCCATGCTGAAGGGAAAGAGAGAGGTTTCCAAGCTGAGCCATTCTGGCTGAGGAATTCTGGGAGTTGAAGTCCACGAGTCATAAAAGAGCCAAGGTTCCCCACCCCTGCTATTAGACCAACTCTAATCCGGTGGAACTACTGGTTTGTACCTTTAGAGCAGGGGTCTTCAAACTTGGCCCTTTTACGACTTGTGGACTCCAACTCCCAGAATTCCTCAGCCACAAGTCGTAAAAGGGCCAAGTTTGAAGACCCCTGAGGTAGAGGAGGTGGGGCTTACATTGAACTGGACGGAAGGTGACGGAAGTGGCAGTCGAGCTCAGCTGAGGAAGACATCTCAGTGCCTCGAGCTGAGGAAGTTGTTCATTTGCCCCGAGCAGGTCTTCCGACTTCTCAGCCCGCCATCCAGCCTGGGAAGCCCCTGGTGGAACGTGGAGGCACCCTTCAACTGATCTGTTCCATGGATTGTCCTGGTGCTGAAGTGGAATGGGAAGGTCTGGACACCGACTTGGGGAACATCATTTCAGACCAGGAACAGAGCATCCTAACGCTGAGCAGTGCCACCATTAACATGGAGGGGACAAAGGCGTGCTCAGGACAGTGCCCTCAGGGGGTGTCCTCTGTGGCCAAGGTGGAGCTGAAGGTATATTGTAAGTTCAAAAAGCACCTGCTCTCTGTTGGTTTTCTTGAATCCATTTCTGGGGGAGGAAGGGAGCAACTTAAGAGAGAAACGGAGTTAGAAGAATAGAAGGAGGGAGGGAGGGAAGGAAAGAAGAGGGAAGGGAGGAAGGAAAAGAGAAAACAAAGGAGGGAAATCATTTTTGCATACTTGTGTTGTTTGTAGTAAAAACTCAACTTTGTCTCAAGGGCATCTCTAACATTGTGGGGATAGACAATGATCGAGTGTATCTCTTCTGGAGCTTGTTACTATTGTTCTTCATAATGGGAACTATAATTACATTTCTAACCCAATAATGCCAGTCTTCTGGGTAGATTCCAACATTTCCTGAAACAATAAGGGAAAACAAAAGGCCCGAGAATATCGTTACAGTTAACACAATGCAGTGCAATTAGCCAATGGCCACAGCAAAAGGGACTACCCCTCTTCGGCATGGAGTTGCCACTTCACAACCGAAAGCAAAGCTACCAAAAATACACAGCAGGTCTTCCCCTGCCCTCCTCTGTCTCAGCTTTTCCAGATACGTTGCAACTGGACTCCCAGCCCAAGACACTGACCGTTGGGCGGCCGGCTCGCCTGCTCTGTTCCATAAGTCACGTCTACCCTCACGGTGCCCTGACGCTGAGCTGGTTCCGGGGAGATGAACCGCTGGAGGCTTCCAGGGAGCTGGAGGAGGAGGAAATGGAAGAGGAAGAAGAGCAGCTGTTTGTCTACCGCTCCGAACTGGAGCTCCCAACTGTGGCAGAAGCTGTAGCTTATAAATGCAAAGCAACTTTGAAGATTGACGAGCGGAACTTTGCCGAAGAGAAAGTTGCTACGGCCATGGCCAGCCCCAAATGTAAGTATCACGTGCACTTTTTGACACTTTTCCCAGGCTTTGAAACGGGGCCTGCGCCAAATCAGGATTGCAGGTGAATCTTTTCATCATCATCATCATCATCATCATCATCACCATCATCATAATGATGATGTGCCTCTTTGGCAGCTGCAGCACACTGCTGGCTCATATTTAAGCGATTGTCCACTAGGACTCCGAGGTCCCTCTCACAGTTACTACTATTGAGCAAGGTACCCCCTATACTATACCTGTACATTTGGTTTTTCTTGCTTAAATGTAGAACCTTGCTTTTTTCACCATTGAATTTCATTTTGTTAGATAGTGCCCAGTGTTCAAGTCTGTCCAGATCTTCCTGTATCCTAAGCCTGTCTTCTGGAGTGTTGGCTATTCCTGCCAGCTTGGTGTCGTCTGCAAATTTGATGAGTTCCCCATCTATCCCCTCGTCCAGATCGTTGATGAAGATGTTGATAAATGTTTTTATTAATTATCACTGTAAAATAAAAATACAGAAAAAACGTAATAATAATAATAATAATAATCATCATCATCATCCTGCGACGATATCTGTAATAACATCAAACATCCACATCTGCCTATCCCAGGTCCTTGGGAAGGACTCGATAGGTAGACAAAATGCCAAATCCAGTCTGAACATCTGGCTGACTATGCGATGGTCCATAATAATAATAATAATAATAATAATAATAATAATAATAATAATAATAATAATAATAATAATAATAGTTGGAAGGGACCTTGGAGGTCATCTAGTCCAACCCCCTGCTCAGGCAGGAAACCCTATACCATTTCGGACAAATGGCTGTCCAGTCTCTTCTTAAAAACCTCCAGCGTTGGAGCATTCAGCACTTCTGGAGAGAGGTAGTTCCACTAGTTAATTGTTCTGTCAGGAAGTTTCTCCTTATATTCTAGGTTGCTTCTCTCCTTGGTTAGTTTCCATCCATGGCTTCTTGTCCTGCCTTCAGGCGCTTTGGTGAATAGCTTGACTCCCTCTTCTTTGGGGCAGCCCCTGAGATACTGGAAGACTGCTATCATGTCCCCCCTCGTCCTTCTCTTTGTTAAACTAGACATACCCAGTTCCAGCAGCCGTTCCTTGTATGTTTTAGCCTCCAGTCCCCTGATCATCTTTGTTGCTCTTCTCTGTACTCTTTCTAGAATCTCAGCATCTTTTTCACATCTAACTGACCAAAACTGGATGCAGTATTCCAAGTGTGGCCTTACCAAGGTGTTATAAAGTGATATTAACACTTCACGTGATCTTGATTCTATCCCTCTGTTCATGCAGCCTAACACTGTGTTGGCCTTTTTGGCAGCTGCAGTACACGGCTAGCTCATATTTAACTAAGAGAAAGAAAAGGGGCGCAAAGAGGGGGAAAGACTGGGGTTTTTTTTTACTTTTTTTAGTGAAGTAAAATAAACACACACATCAAAAAGAGAGAGACAACCTTAACTTTTGGCTTCGGATTTCTAAATATTTCAAGTCATTTCTAGAATAACAAAATCAGTCTAATCAACAAAAGTTTCTTTTTTTTTTTCAGTTCCCAGCAAAAAAATCCAAAGGCAATTTCCAAGTAGAAACAAAACTAGATAAATTCTTCTAATTAAAACAGGTTGGCCATCTCCATAATTACAGCCAAATCTCATACTTGGAGAACCTGTCTTCATTTTAAATATTTTCATTTTCATCCCCAATTTCATTAGTCAATAACTTTCACAATAAAGTATTATTCATGTACAGCTTGGGTTTTTTCTTTAAAGAGCCAAAAATGAACTAGCTAAATCTAATTCAGTTTGAAGAGTTGGCAAATTCTTCAGCCTTCAGCCCCATTTGGGGGGGGTTGGTTGGTTTGGGCAGGGGTGGGGAGTGAAACAGGACCAGTAATGTTTTAATAATAATAATAGTAAAGTTGGAAGGGACCTTGAAGGTCATCTAGTCCAACCCCCTGCTCAGGCAGGAAACCCTATACCATTTCGGACAAATGGCTGTCCAGTCTCTTCTTAAAAACTTCCAGTGTTGGAGCATTCACCACTTCTGGAGGCAGATTGTTCCACTGGTTAATTGTTCTCACTGTCAGGAAGTTTCTCCTTAGTTCTAGATTGCTTCTCTCCTTGATTAGTTTCCACCCGTTGCTTCTTGTCCTGCCTCCAGGTGCTTTGGAAAATAGCTTGACTCCCTCTTCTTTGGGGCAGTCCCTGAGATACTGGAAGACTGCTATCATGTCCCCCCTTGTTCTTCTCTTCATTAAACTAGATATACCCAATTCCAGCAGCCGTTCCTTATATGCTTTAGCCTCCAGTCCCCTAATCATCTTTGTTGCTCTTCTCTGCACTCTTTCTAAAGTCTCAACATCTTTTTTACATCGNTTTGGCAGCTGCAGCACACGGCTGGCTCATATTTAGGTGATTGTCCACTAGGACTCCGAGGTCCCTCTCACAGTTACTACTATTGAGCAAGGTGCCACCTATGCTGTACTTGTGCAATTGGTTTTTCTTGCCTAAATGTAGAACCTTGCTTTTTTCACCATTGAATTTCATTTTGTTAGATAGTGCCCAGTGTTCAAGTGTTTTTGTCTTTGTTGTAATGGGTGAGGCCAATTTTTCAGGCCTGTTTTATGCCTAGGGCAGAGATCTGCAAACTTGGCAACTCTTAAGACTTGTGTGGACTTCAACTCCCAGAATTCTTCAGCCAGCCAAGTTTGAAGACCCCTGTGCTAGGGGCTAACTGGATTTCCCCAGGTGGGAAAAACAAAACTGTCTGGGGTTTTGCTGCTTTGTGAATACCTTAATTTTAGGGAGGGCATTTTGCCAATAAAAACTCCCTTTCCTGTCATTCTGGAGATTTTTGGAGCCTGCCAGTTGACCCCCTACCCACCATCTAACAAAGGAGACCTAAAGTCTTGAAACAAGACTGGCAAAAAGGCCAACACAGTGCTAGGCTGCATTAACAGAGGGAGAGAATCAAGATCACGTGAAGGGTTAATACCACTTTACAAAGCCTTGGTAAGGCCACACTTGGAATACTGCATCCAGTTTTGGTCACGATGTAAAAAAGATGTTGAGACTCTAGAAAGAGTGCAGAGAAGAGCAACAAAGATGATTAGGGGACTGGAGGCTAAAACATAAGGAACGGTTGCTGGAATTGGGTATGTCTAGTTTAGTGAAGAGAAGGACGAGGGGGGACAGGATAGCAGTGTTCCAATATCTCAGGGGCTGCCCCAAAGAAGAGGCAGTCAAGCTATTTTCCAAAGCGCCTGAAGGCAGGACAAGAAGCAACGGATGAAAACTAATCAAGGAGAGAAGCAACCTAGAACTAAGGAGAAATTTCCTGACAGTTAGAACAATTAACCAGTGGAACTACCTGCCTCCAGAAGCTGTGAATGCTCCAACACTGGAAGTTTTTAAAAAGAGACTGGACAGCCATTTGTCTGAAATGGTATAGGGTTTCCTGCCTGACCAGGGGGTTGGACTAGAATAGATGACCTCCAAGGTCCCTTCCAACTTTATTGTTGTTGTTGTTGTTGTTGTTGTTGTTGTTGTTGTTGTTGTTATTATTATTATTATTATTATTATTATTATTATTATTTCTCTTAACAATTCTAAATGTTTGGTTTCCAGCTATGCAGGAGCTTCTCGGCGCTAGTGAGACCACCGTCCTTATTCCCACATCTGGAAGGACAAGACAAACATCTGCTCTGGAGCTACTCACCACAGCTGATTGGAAGTCCTCACTTGGGACAACCACTAGCCTTCTCCAACTTCTTTCTACTGAGCATACCAGCTCTGGGGCATCTGAGGTTACACCAACAGCCACCTCCACGCTGGAATCCCTAACCAAAGACCATAACTCCATCACAGGGGTCAACAATCTCACTGGATCTTCTGACCCAACAGGTAACCCTCTGGCAGAGCTGGGGACAACCTCTCCAAAATTTGAGACAGGGTCCATCCCCATGCACAATTCCATCTTGAGATGTCACTAGGTTTAGGTCAGTGATGGCGAATCTTGGACACCGAGTGCCCAAAAACTGGTCCCACCCCTGCCCTATCCCCTGCCCTGCCTGCCCGCAGGGCCACTCACCACCTTCAGGGCCCGCCCGCAAATTGCCCAGGCAGCCCAGCAGCGCCATGGCGGCCACGCCCTCTTCCTGCGCCCCGCAGCATCATCTGCGCACGACGGGGCGTGAGGGCAGAGTCTTGTCCACGCTGCCTGGCTGCCATGTCCTTGGCTGCGCTGCTCCGCATGGGCCACGCTCGGGGGCGACTCTCCTCCAGGGGGACTGCTGGTGAGGGGGTCGCGGGGGGAGGCGAGGCTAGGGCAATGGCACGTATGCTCACAGAGAGGGCTCTGAGTGCCGCCTCTGGCATGCATGCCATAGGTTCGCCACCACTGGTTTAGGTCTTTCAGCCAAACTCAGGATTGTTTTGCTTGTTCCTTTCTTAACAGACCAAGAATTAACTACCAAGCCTCTTTCCACGGCCAACGGTTTCTCGACAGGAGGGACCACAGAAAAATTAACCACTAAGCCTCTTTCCATGACCAGCGGTTTCTCCACAGGAGGGAGCACTGAAGAACCAACCACTAACCCTCTTTCCATGGCCAACCGTTTCTCGACAGGAGGGACCACAGAAAAACCCAAGGACGCCTGCCGCCCCATGATCGTACCAGTGCCTGCCGAAGGAACCATGGGAAGCACCCTTCGCATCACATGCCAGACCTCAGAGTGCCGCAGAGGTGTCCAAATCCAGTGGGTGGAAACCCCCGTGGCCCAGTCACGGTACCGCCTGGAGGAAGCCGAGGGCCAGTCGACCCTGATGGTGGAGAATGTCAGCTTGGAGCACCAGGGACTCTATCGATGCGTTGCGATTGCCAGCCCACCCCGGATAGCCAGCCTGCGCGTCGTGGTGTCTGCCGGTGAGTGAGATGAAATTGCACATTCAGGATACAGGTAGTCCTCGACTTACCACAGTTCGCTTAGTGACCATTCAAAGTTACAACAGCGCTGGAAAAAAGGGACTTAAGACCGTTTTTCACACTCATGACCACTGCAGCATCCCCAGGGTCACGTGATCAAAATCCGGACGCTTGACAACTGATTCGTATTTGTGACGGTTGCAGTGTCCCAGGGTCATGTGACCCCTTTGGCGACCCTCTGACGAGCAAAGTCAATGGGGGAAGCCGGATTCACTTAGCCCTGCTAGCCCTAACTTAACAACTGCAGTGATTCACTTAACAACTGTAGCAAGAAAGGTCATAAAATGGGGCAAAATTCACTAAACAACTGTCTCGCTTAGCAACAGAAAGTTTAGGCTGAATTGTGGTCGTAAGTCGAGGACTACCTATATTGGGTTTGGGTCACATTGAGTGCACTAGGGTAAAATCTGGTTGGGTGACTTTTGGTTAATCACTAGGAGACTGTGAGTTCTAGTCCCGTCTTAGGCAGAAAAGTTGATCTGGCTCAATCAAAAGGAAACAATGAGTTCTAGTCCTGCCTTAGGCAGTGTTCCAGTATTTCAGGGGCTGCCCAAAGAAGAGGGAGTCAAGCTATTCTCCAAAGCACCTGAAGGCAGGACAAGAAGCAACGGATGGAAACTAACCAAAGACAGAAGCAACCTAGAACTAAGGAGAAACTTCCTGACAGTTAGAACAATTAACCAGTGGAACAACCTGCCTCCAGAAGTTGTGGGTTCTCCAACACTGGTGGTTTTTAAGAAGAGATTGGACAACCATTTGTCTGAAATGGTATAAGATTTCCTGCCTGAACAGAGGGTTGGACTAAAAGACCTCCAAGGTCCCTTCCAACTTTATTATTATTGTTGTTATTGTTGTTATTATGAAAGCCATCTGTGTGACTTTGGGTGAATCACCCTCTCTCAGCCCAATCCATCTCACAGGCTTGTCACTGTGGGGAAAATAGGAGGAGGAGGAGGAAGAAGCATTAAATACGTTTGCTGCCTTAAGTTATTTATAAAACTAATAAAAGGTTAAAAAAACCTTAATGTATTTTTTTTTAAAAAAATTTGAAAATGTGTTAAAATGATTAATTGTAAAGTTTTGTTTTTTAAAAAAAATCTTTACGAACAATACTATTTACATTAAAAAAAGAATGAACATATATGAATAAAGAAGAGATCAAATTATCATAAATTGGGGAGAAATGTAATTTACAGGCATGGGTCTTTAATATTTGTAACCTTAATATTTCTACACGTGGGAGGGTGCTCATCTTAGTTTCTTGCTCACCTACAAAGGAAGGGTGGAAAATAATAGCAGTAGCAATAACAATAGCCCTTAGACCTATATAGTGCTTTACAGAACTCTCTTAAGCGGTTTACAGAGTCAGCTTCTTGCCCCCAACAATCTGGCTCCTCATTTTACAAACCTCGGAAGGACGGAAGGCTGAGTCAACCTTGAGCCAGTCAGGATCGAACTCCTGGCTGTGGGCAGAGTTAGCCTGCAATGCTGCATTCTAACCACTGCACCACCAGGGCTTAGATAGCGATAGCAATAGCACTTAGACTTATATACTGCTTCATAGTGCTTTACAGCCCTCTCTGAGCGGTTTACAGAGTCGGCCTGTTGCCCCCAACAATCTGGGTCCTCATTTTACCACTCTGGAAGGATGGAAAGCTGAGTCAACCTTGAGCTGGTCAGGATCAAAACTCCTGGCTGTGGAGCAGAGATTGCCTGCAATCCTGCCTTCTAACTACTGCTGCACCACCAGGGCTGTATGAGGTGGGTTAATAGAAGATGGACACATCTGTCTACTTAAGATACTAAATACATGTTTGGTGCACCTTTCCTTTTGCAGCCAATGTCAACACAGATGCCCTTTTCACCATCGGAGCCACTGGATCCCTCTTAGGACTGATCATCGTAGGCTACGTCTCGCATCGATGGCGGCAACGGCGGCGGTGGTGAACAAGGGAAGGGCCAAAAAGCTTCCGTCCATCTCCTTGGCTATGCCCCCTCTGGACCCTGGACTTCTGACCAGGCCATGAAAACTATTCTTTGGCCTTCAAGGGCTATCAAGCAGGGACTTCGCTGACATGTTGCCAGGATTTTTTGCCTTGGGCAAGAGGTGGAAATGAGAAGCCTCTTTCCCAGGCCCTGCTTGAGGCCATTTGCCCCATCGATGGGGGCAGTAGGCTTTCACTGCAGAACTGGTAGCCGGGTCCTTCTGTGAACTGGGTGGAACTGTAGGTTTGAGTGCCACTGTTTACGTCCGGCGCAGACAATCAGATCTATTGTGAAAAGTCTAAGTCAGCAACTTTATTGACTTCTGCCTGTATTACAAGAATCTCCCCGGACTGCGTGCCTTCGTTTGGGAACAACCAGATAAGGTTCCATAGGACTTGGGGAGGGGTGAAACCTATGTCTCTTGTGGCTGCGCCAGGACTCAAGGCTAAGTCCCCGCTTGACCCCCTCCTCCCTGCCTGGTTGGAAGTTTCCCAACAGTTTAGGATGGACCTATGCCAGATGGCCTGTTGAACAACGACGGGAGAGTAAATCAAATGCTGTTTTTCTCTCTCTCTCTTTTTTTTCTGCACATCCTGAACCTACAAGAGCTGGTTCTCAGATTTACGCACTTTCTGAAAGTTGCAGGGTGTTTTTACATCCAGCCAGCAGAAAATTTATTTCCGAGAAGGGCTAAGCTATCTTTGGGGCTGGTGAGTCTAGACTGGGAATTTTGAGAGCAACCTCTCCCTTTCCCCTCAGCATGGCTGGCTCAGGAATTCTGGGAGTTGAAGTCCACGAGTCATAAAAGGGCCAAGGTTGCCTACCCCTGTCATAGATAGATGTTCTCCATGACAATCTCTCCCTCACCTGGTTTTTCAGATCCTCCAGTGTTGCCCCCATCACCACTGGCTGCTGCTGGTCCTTCTCTTCTTGTCTTTCCTCCCCTCTTTCCCAACACCAGAGCCTTCCCATAATTTGTTCAAAGTAGGATAATTTGAGCCTGGTCATTGGTACCTTGAGTGAGAATTTTGGACTGGTTGGTTTGTTCATTTGATCTATTTATTTGTTTCCTTGGCTGTTTGTGGTATTCTTTAGCGCAATTGGTAAAAAATAAAAATCCTGATTTCAGTTCATTTCCATTTCAGTCTCTAGATAGGCATTTTATCACCGCCTCCTTCTCTTACAGTAAACAATTATGTATGTTTTTTAAAATTGTAATGCGATCATTGCATAATTAACGGTTCTAAGAACCAAGGAAATTTCGTATCTAAGAAGTTACATTAGGACGTTGTCAGTTTTGTTTCAAGCCCATCTTCAGCCATCAAAATTCACCGGCCAGTTTTGGGCCCTTCTCTCTCTCTCTCTTCCTTGATCTGACCTATTCAGGATTATTGGTAGTCCTCCACTTATGACCAAAACTGAGCCCGGAATTGCGGTCATAAGTCGAAGCATCGTGTGACTGGATTCAAAGTTACAAGTGGCTTTTTTTTTTACAACAGTCATTAACGGAACGCTCCAGTGTTAAGTGAACGCCACAGTTGTTAAGCAAATCCATTTTTCCCAAGGGGTATTTTTTGGGGGTGGAAAACAGGAAATAACCCCCGAAAACCAACAAAAAAATATCCCCGATTACAGTGATGTGATTGCAGGAGACCGAAAAAGCCAAAAAGGTGAGCTGCTTGCCAAGCACCCAAATGCAATCACGTGATTGCAGGGTGTGGTGTGTGAATGTGTATGTGTGTATGTATATACGGATGTTATCAAGTGCAGGAAATCAGGAGTCCAGGCAACTCAAATGAATATATTTATTGTACGCACTACAAGAATCTAAACTAATAATGGTCAAAGCAAACTGGGCATTGGATAATAATAATAATAATAATAATAATAATAATAATAATAATAATAATAATAATAATAATAATAATAATAATAATAATAATAATAAATGAAGGTCATCTAGTCCAACCCCCTGCTCAGGCAGGAAACCCTATACCATTTCGGACAAATGGCTGTCCAGTCTCTTCTTAAAAACTTCCAGTGTTGGAGCATTCACCGCTTCTGGAGGCAGGTTGTTCCACTGGTTAATAAGAGTCAACGGAATTCAAGGTGGGCTGGACTCAGATCTCCTGTGGGCGCAAAGGGACTCAAGACCGGTAACGCATTTGACCCCCTCCCTCAGGCTCAGCCTGGTCATCTCCTACCCGTACATGACCATTGTAACTCCAAAAATGGATCACAAGTAGCTCTGAGAAGGTCCATCATAAACTTTGAACGGTCCTTAAGCAACCAGTTGTAAATTGAGAACTACCTATACTACCTCGAACTCCCGGTAGGGAAACGGGACATCCCTTTAACAAATAAAGTTGATTGCATCTTTTGGGGGATATGTCTATGGACAACCAGGTCCTGGTTGTCCCAAAGGTGCTTTTTTTTTCAGGAGGCCACTGGATTTTCTTGTTTTTCTTTGAAGACGTTTCGCTTCTCAACCAAGAAGCTTCTTCAGCTCTGACTAAATGTGTTCTGTCCCAGCCTACGTGAGTCCTTGTTAACCTCACAAGGAGAAACCCCTCTTCCAACAAGCAGGCTGGAAACGCAGGAAAAAAACAAAACCCCTTTTATTATTCACAGACCTGAGTCAATGTCCAAGGCAAACAAAACACAGTCCACAGAAACTCGATCCTCAACACGAACAGTTGCCTTCGGCCACCAGCACCTCCCACACCTTCCCTTTTATTATACAGCCAAGGCATGGCTTCCTAATGCCCTCTCCTTTGCCTTTGGAGCCGCCCCATTGCATTCCTCTGTCCTACTGAAAAAAACAAGGTTCTGGTGAAAAAAGTAAGGTTCTACATTTAGGCAAGAAAAGCCAAATGTACAGGTATAGTATAGGGGGTACCTTGCTCAATAGTAGTAACTGTGAGAGGCATCTCGGAGTCCTAGTGGACAATCACCTAAATATGAGCCAGCCGTGTGCTGCAGCTGCCAAAAAAGCCAACACAGTGCTGGGCTGCATTAACAGAGGGATAGAATCAAGATCACGTGAAGTGTTAATACCACTTTACAATGCCTTGGTAAGGCCACACTTGGAATACTGCATCCAGTTTTGGTCACTGCGATGTAAAAAAGATGTTGAGACTCTAAAAAGAGTACAGAGAAGAGCAACAAAGAGGATTAGGGGACTGGAGGCTAAAACATACAAGGAACAGTTGCTGGAATTGGGTATGTCTAGTTTAATGAAGAGAAGGACGAGGGGGGACAGGATAGCCATGTTCCAGTATCTCAGGGGCTGCCACAAAGAAGAGGGAGTCAAATTATTCCCCAAAGCACCCGAAGGCAGGACAAGAAGCCACAGATGGAAACTGACTTTCAGATCAACTGTCCAGAGATTTCAAAGAACCAAAGGGCTGGAAGGGACCTTGGAGGTCATCTAGTCCAACCCCCTGCTCAGGCAGGAAACCCTATACCATTTCAGACAAGTGGTTGTCCAATCTCTTCTTAAAAACTTCCAGTGTTGGAGCATTCACAGCTTCTGGAGGCAGGTTGTTCCACTGGTTAATTGTTCTCACTGTCAGGAAGTTTCTCCTTAGTTCTAGATTGCTTCTCTCCTTGATTAGTTTCCATCCGTTGCTTTTTGTCCTGCCTTCAGGTGCTTTGGAGAATAGCTTGACTCCCTCTTCTTTGGGGCAGCCCCTGAGACTGCTATGTCACCCCTCGTCCTTCTCTTCATTAAACTAGGCATTACACCCACAACTTCTGGAGGCAGGTTGTTCCACTGATTAATTGTTCTGTCAGGAAATTCCTCCTTAGTTCTAGATTGCTTCTCTCCTTGATTAATTTCCATCCGTTGCGTCTTGTCCTGCCTTCAGGCGCTTTTTTTTTTTAAATGCTGACTGATCATCCCATCCTAGAATGTGTGCTGATTTACGATCTTATGACTTTCAGACCAACCATCCCTTCAGAGATTTCATAGAACCAAAGGGCTGGGAGAGACCTTGGAGGTCTTCTAGTCCAACCCCTGCTCAAGCAGGAGAACCTATACCATCTCAGACAGGTGATTGTCTATCTTTTCTTTAAAATCTCCAGTGATGGAGCGCCCACGATTTCTGGTGGCAAGCTGTTCCACTGGTTAATTGTCCTCACTGTTAGGAAGTTTCTCCTTAATTCCAGGTTGCTTCTCTCTTTGATCAGTTTCCAACCATTGTTTCTCGTCCTTCCCTCTGGTGCTTTGGAGAATAATTTGACTCCCTCTTCCTTGTGGCAGCCCCTCAGATACTGAAACATTGCTATCGTGTCTCCTGTTTCTTCTTTTCTTTAGACTAGCCAAACCCAAGTCCTGCAGCCATTCTTCGTATGTTTTAGTCTCCAGGCCTTTGATCATCTTAGTTGCTCTTCTCTGATTTTTTCCCAAACTCTCAACGTCTTTTTTGTGAAAAATATGACCAAAATTGGCTGCAGTATTTCAGGTGTGGTCTTACTAAGGTTTTATAAAACAGTAATAATACTTTGTGTGATCTTGATTCTATGCCTCTGTTTATACACCCCAGGATTTTTAGATAATGGAGAAGAGCTATTTTTTGTCCCTATATAGAGAACAGGCAACAGACAGCAACTTGTAAAAAAAGTTTTTTAATGGAAGCTACATAACATTTTAGTGTAGATTTCATTTCTTGTAACAAAATAGTGCTATTTCTCACTGGTTACCATTGATGCTTCTTTAAAAAAAATGCAAAACTAAATACAGATATATCAAATCCATCGTTCCAAATTTAATTGTTATCTTCAATACCCAATGCGGAGTCAAGCTTCTTCCCAAAATAGGTGGAATGCAAGTATCTTAAGTCAGATGGTAGGTTAATGTTAGCTGCAGCAAGACACAAAAACCTAAGATTGAGACCATGGATGTATAATTGGGAAGCCTAGCCAATATCATCTTCACCACCAACCACCATCATCAAATTTGTTACACCATACTAAAATCGAATCCAGTAATAATGAGAATTACTACACAACTTCTTCACGGAGCATAAAAACAATTTCCTCCATTTCCTTGGAATGTAGCATGGAAAACCCCTAGTTTCTCAACCTTGGCAACTTTTTAAGCTGCGCGGACTTCAACTCCCAGAATTCCCCAGCCAGCGTGCTGGGGATTCTGGGAGTTGAAGTCCACACATCTTAAAATGAGAAACACTGCCCTATACTTTTAGACGCCCAGAAAATAAAACCTGGGGGGAAAAGACTTTCTGAAACCTTGAGGTTCATCTTAGGAAACCAAATTCAGTTTTTGGTCCACTGATTTTCAAACTGGGTACCCATGTGCCAAAATATTGGCCACTGATGACAAGTTGTTTCTAGGATTCATTTGATCGGCATTTGTTTCATATACTCAAGCAAAGGGAAACACTCAAGTTTTACAAGAATTACAAAACATATTTTTGGGAGGGGTTAAAAAAGGCACAACGTGGTCGTAGACCAAAGGAAGAAGGCATCGTAAAGTATACAAAAACTCACTACAGCAGGGGTATTCATCCTGCGGCCCGCGGCCCACTACCGGGCCGTGTCCTACTGGCCACCGGGACATGAAACAGGCTGCACGCACTCACGCCCACTCGTCCTAGTGCCGCCGCTGCTATGCAAATGGGGGGCTATGCAGGAAAAATAGGGCATTGCTATGCAAACAGGATGGTACACGGTGTGAAAACTGAGCAGCGTACAGCGTGAAAATAGGGGAAAACCGGGCATTGGGCAGCGTGAAAACCGGGCACTGCTCGGTGCAAAAATGGGGGGGAAACAGGGCAGCGCAAAGCACGAAAACAGGGGGAAAAACCGGGCGCACAATGCAAAATTGGGGGCAAACTGGGTGACACATGGCGCAAAAAGCAGGTGGCATGTGGCATGAAACCTGGGTGACACACGGCATGGAAATGGGAGGAAACCAGGTGGTGCACAGCTTGAAAACAGGTGGCATAAAACCAGGTGGCGCACAGCGTAAAAACAGGGGCAAACCGGGTGGCGCGCAGCACAAAAACCGGGCATGTGGCACAAAAACCGGATGGCGCGTGGCGCAAAAACCGGGCACTGCACGAAAATGGAGCGATGCTAGTGCGCACGCAGCAAAACTGGTGCGGTGCTAGCACCGCTCCGTTTGCGTCGCACGTGCTCGCGGCCCCGTTTGTGTGTTCGCACGCATGCAGCAAATGCTTCTCTCCCCCTTTCTCTCCGGTCCGTCAACTGAGAAAGGTTGGAGACCTCTGCACTACGGCTCAAACTTGATGTGACATTTACCATGTCCAAAATGGGTAGCCCTCTACTTACAACCATCTGTTTACTGACAGCTACAACAGCGTGAAAAAAGTAACTTATGACAGATTCTCACATGACTATTGCAGCCTCCCCATGGTCATGTGATCAAAATTTGGGCACTTTGCAACGGGCATGTATTTATGAGGGTTGCAGCGTCCTGGGTTCACGTGATCGCTGTTTGTAGCCTTCCCAAATTAAGGTTTCCTTAATTTGCACGATTCATTTATGGTTTCAAAAAAGGTTGTAAAAAGAGGAAAAGCTCACTTAACAACTGCTTTATTTAACAATAGAAATTTTGTGCTCAATTGAGATCGTAGTTCTCGACTTACAACAGTTCCTTTAGTGCCTGTCTGAAGTTACAACCGCACTGAAAAAAATGACTTATAACCATTTTTCAGACTTAATCACCATTGCAGCATCCCCAGGGTCAGGTGATTTACATTCAGATGCTTGACAACCGGCTCATATTTATGACCGTCGCAGTGTCCCCAGGGGGTCATGCGATCCCCTTTTATGACACTCTGACAAGCGAAGTCAATGGGGAAGCCAGATTCACTTAACAACCGTGTGACTAATTTAACAACGGCAGTGATTCCCGTAATAAATGTGGCAAGGAAAGTCGTAAAAATGGGATAAAACTCACTTAACAAATTTCTCACTTAGCAACATAAATTCTGGATTCAATGGTGGTTTTATGTCGAGGACTGCCTGTAAGGTGTTTTATTCGATTCCCAGATGAGATCAGAATCCAATCTGAATTGGGAACCAATGCAGAGAATCCCATCCGGACCTTGAAAAAACATACAGTAGTGGCCAAAATTGTGGAAACCTTTTGGGAAAAGTGTATTTTTGAGGTTTGATGGCTAATAACACCACTTTTTTGGGGGGGGGGTACTACCATAAAATTATATATCAATGGAAAGATAATTTAATCAAGAATGTAATGTAACAGTTTGTTCAATTATCTGTACTGTATTCTTATGAAAAGTTATAGCCAAATAACCAGAAAAAGGAAGCACAACTTGCTTAGGTTGATATCAGGTAGCTTTCCTTCATCTGATTGTAGCCAATGAGCATGAGTGTTTAGAGAGCCAATCGGGTGTCATCTTGTTTTGGCAATGAGCCGATCAGATCACAGTAGATCCAGTGATTGATGTCATGTATTGAAACTGAGAAAAGGACATTTGTCAGTGTGTTATGTGATCGCTATCTAGTTGGTTGGGTTTTTTTGTGTTCTTTCGTTGAGTGAGCTTGTAAAACGTAATAAAATTAAAGTAATAGTGCAAAGAGTTGACTGGTTGCCCAGAAAGCAATGTAAAATAGAATTATTAAGCGAACAAAGCTACAGTTATAAAGAAATTAGAAGAAAAATGGGTGGAAACTTAACCAATGTGGCATTTCTACTGTACACTTTTCCCAAAAGGTTTCCACAATATTGGCCACTACTGTAGGAAGGGTTTTAACCCCCTACTCCCAATCTATGATAGGGCCTCCATCCAGATTGGGCCCAGCAGCAAAGAAAAACAGAATTGTGCAACTGCCACCTCACTCCTTTTGTCAGGAACACAATCTCTTAATTAAAAGCAATGACAGAGGATAGCGGCGAGTCAACCGCAATGTCCTTTTTTGCATTATCGCTGAAAAAGGCAGGACCCAAAGCAAACAATCAGGGCCCGCCACAGCATTTATTATGTAAACAGTACGGACTGGAGGGCATCTCATTCAAAAACAGTGAGCACCGCTCCTCTAAACAAGATACATTTATACATTTCAGAAAAGGTGGGAGAGATGCATGCCTACGTCTTCGTGAGTAATAACAGATCTGGGATCCCGTCCTGCCCTTCTGGGGTTTACAAGCAGTCCTCAAATTACCACCGTTCCTTTAGTGACCGTTCAAAGTTACAACAGCAGTGGAAAGAGAGACCGATGACCGCTTTTCACCTTTATGACCGCTGCATCTCATGGTCACGTGATCAAAATTTGGACACTAGGGGCAACCGACTCATATTTATGACGGTTGCAGTGTCCCGGGGTCATTTTGCAACCTTTGGACAAGCAAAGTCAATGGGAAAGCCAGATTAACTCAACAGCCGTGTCACTAATTTGACAACTGCGGTGATTCGCTTAAGAACTGGGGCGAGAAAGGTTGTAAAGGGGGACAAAACTCACTTGCTTAAGCGACAGAAATTTTAGGCTCAACTGGGGTTGTGAGTTGAAGACTACCGTACCTGTGCCATCTTTAAAAGAAGCCCTTGTCTTAAATGAAAAAGAAACAAATTAAAAAGAGGGGATCACTTAGGGTGCCAAATGCCAGAAGGAAGATTTCCTTCACTGGCATCTTAAGGACAGATTTCATGGGTTGCCATGGAAATGTTCTGCTGAAATGCATTAACAGGTTGGAGTAAACTAGATGTTAAATCGGCCCCAAGGCTGGATCAAACTTCTTACGTTTCAATTTGATTTAAAGGATGTCATTCATCTGAAAATGTGATATTCCTCCGAGTGGACGAAAAAGAAAAACGTTTTCCAAAACATGATTGGCACTTGGGATTCTTCTCTTGCTGGTTCCTCTCGTGAGAAACATACTTCTTTGTACAAATGAACACAACGCGCTAATTTTGGCAGAGGGGCGGGAAGAGATCAAGGAGGGGCCCTGGCTGCTCTCTGCGCTTAGGGGTTTTCTTGCGGACCTTTCACTACCCAACTAGGTAACATCATCAGTCAAAGGGAACGCCTCCATTTTTGTCGGCTGCTACTTTTTCGACAAGACAATTTAGGGAGAATTGTCTCGTTTGAGCTTTCGCCAATGAGAAGAAGGCCGTTGCGCATCTCACAAAGTCTTTGGGCACCCTGAGAAAGAGGGGGTGAGGGAGTCACTTGTGGATCCCTTCCTCACCCACCCTGTGGCCCCTAAGAGCAGGGGTCCCCAACCCCCGGTCCGTGGATCACTACCGGGCCATGGCATGCCAGCAACCGGTCCGCACAAACAAAACCCCATCCACGGGATGCAGGCAGCACACAAAACCATGCACCCTCCAGTCCGCAGGAAAAAACCTCTCTCCACAGAACTGGTCCCTGGTGCCCAAAAGGTTGGGGACCTCTCTTCTAAATCAAGGGTCTCCAACCCCCGGTCTGTGGGCCAGTACCGGGCCACGGCATGCCAGCAAGTGGTCCACACAAACAAGCAAAGCCCCATCCGCGAGATGCAGGCAGGACACAAAACCACGCACCCTCCAGTCCGCAGAAAAACCTCTCTCTAGGGCACCGGTCCCTGGTGCCCCAAAGGTTGGGGACCTCTGCCTAAGAGTGCAACCGACGGACGTGTTTCAGGAGGTTGGATTTGTGATTGAAAGACCTGGCGCAGTGCTTGCAGCTGAAGGCGGGGTACTTCTGATGGGTGCGCTGGTGCTGCAGGAAGGTGGAGCGGTGGGTGAAGGTCTTGGGACACTGGTCGCAGTGGTGGGGACGCTCGCCCGTGTGGACCCGCTCGTGCTCTTTGACCGAGGCTTCCCACTTGAAGCGCCGGCTGCAGTGGGAGCAGGCAAAGGGCTTCTCCTGAGTGTGGATCCGCAGGTGCTTCACCAGGCAGGAGGTACGCTTGAACCGCTTGGGACACAGGTGGCAGGGGAAGGGGGCCTCGTCCGAATGCACCTTGCCGTGCTTGTCCAGGTCGGCCTGCAGCTTGAACCGTTTCCCGCAGATCCGGCAGCGAAAAGGCCGGATGGCCGAGTGCACCAGGCGGTGCTTAATGAGGTCGGCGCCCCGGACGAAGGTCTTCTGGCAACGCTTGCACTGGTACGGGCGCTCGCCCGTGTGGATGCGCTGGTGCTCCCGGAAATTGGACTGGTGCTTGATGTCCTTCCCGCAGATGTTGCAGTGGTGGAGCTGTAGGTCGGGGACAGCCGCTGGTGGACATCTCTTTGGCTTCCAAACGGCTCTCTTCCGCCTTTTCCGCAGCCGGGTTTGGGGGGGGCTGAGTCGGGGGTCCATGAATCGCCTGGGGAAGCAGAACAAAAGGCCGCAGTGCACCTTTTAACGCTTTTTACAGATTTCTTTCAGCCAAAATCTTTGTGAACTGGCTCAAAGGTGCTTTTTCAAGAGGCAACTGGACTTTCTTGTTTTTCTTTCAAGACGTTTCGCTTCTCATCCAAGAAGCTTCTTCAGCTCTGACTGGATGGTGGGGAAGGAAAGGATTTATACTCCTTGCAGACAGCCGGTCATTTGCCTTCTTTTAGAGAGTCGTTGAGCCCACCTAAGGCTTATCTGTGTCCTCAGGGTCACCTGAATGGGGCAAATGGGTATGGAGCCTTCTTGGAAGTGTTGAAAGGATTGTGTTATAGACTGTTGAGAAAGGGCTGTTCAAATCCATCAGGACAAGAGTCAGCAGTCCATCTGCATTTGAAAGATGAAGGCCATTCTTTTGGAAGACAGCAAAGTCCACATTTTGGAGAGAGAGGACCGCTGGTTTGAAAGAGTAGGTCAAAGAAGACATCTATGTCAAAACTGAACAGTCCTCTCTCAACAGAGGGGGAAGGATATGACACCATCTATCTCCAGTCTACAACATGGTCCTTTCAGCAGTTCCAATTAGGCTCCACACCCATTTGCACCACTCAGGTGACCCTGGAGACACAGATAAGCCTCCAGGTGGCCTCAAGGACTCTCTAAAAGGAGGCAAATGACCAGCTGTCTGCAAGGAGTATAAATCCTTCCACTCCCCACCATCCAGTCAGAACTGAAGATGCTTCTTGGATGAAAAGTGAAATGTTTTTCAAGGAAAAACAAAGAAAATCCAGTTGCCTCCTGAAAAAAGCACCTTTGGGACAACCATGACCTGGATGATGGAGAACCTCCATAGACCCTTTGCGGACTGGATTAACATGATCAGGTACATGTTCACCAAAAGTGAGTGAGTGAATAGGGATAGTCCTTGACTTACAACCTTTCATTTAATGACTGTCCGAAGTTACGACGACAGTGAAAAAAAGCGACTTATAACCATTTTTTGCACGACAATTGCAACATTCCCATGGCCACGTGATCAAAATTGGGACGCTTGGCAACTGACTCATATTTATGACGGTTGCAGTGTCCCAGAGTCATGTGATTCTCCTTTTGTGACCTTCTGACAAGCAAAATCAATAGGTGAAGCCAGATTCATTTAACAACCGTTAACCACTGCAGCAATTCAGTTAACAACTGTGGCAAGAAGGGTCGTAAAATGGAGCAAAACTCACTTAAAGTGTCTTGCCTAGCAAGAGAAATTTGGGAGTCAGTTGTGGTCGTTAAGTTGAGGACAATCTGCAAAGGCACGGCTGGAAGGGGTAACTCACAGGTCACAAACAGCTGCCTTTGTATGACTTGATAAGCCCAAGATGACAGAATGCAATTTCAGCTAACATCTGTGTATCAAAAAAACATAAATAAAAAATTCACAGTGTGCCTTACCTCAGCAGCATCATTCATGCAGGCAGTCCTCACAACTATTGGTTTAAACCAGGGGTCTTCAAACTTGGCCCTTGTATGACTTGTGGACTTCAACTCCCAGAATTCCTCAGCCAGCATGCCTGGCTGAGGAATTCTGGGAGTTGAAGTCCACAAGTCATAAAAGGGCCAAGTTTGAAGACCCCCGATTTAAATGGCCATTCAAAGTTACAATGGCACTGAATAAAGTGACTTATGACTATCATAGCATTTGTCTGTGGCAGAATAGAATAGAATAGATTTCTATTTGCTATTGATTCAACTGTTCTCCTTATGAGGTACATAATTTTCATTACATCAAACAGGAAATCACATGTGTTGGAAGCATCAGCATTTATGCCAGCAGAAAGTCCCTAAAAGTTTGCATTTCACATGTGACCCTTAATTATCTCTTTTACTGAAAATACATACCCTAAATTTGACTTTATTCAAAAGCAAACAAAATTTATGTCTTTTAGCACACTACACAAAAATACCCAGTTCAGTATTCAGCACAGGAAAGACTTGTAAATAGTTCCCTAGGGACATAAATGATTGTTTCCAACCAAGTAAGAATCACTTTAAAACATGTTCAGCTGAAGCTTAGCATAATCAGCAAAGCATGAATTCTTGCAGGAACTAAGTTCTGCATGCAGAGATCATGCATTTCATCTATACCAGAGGTAGGCAACCTTGGCTCTTTTATGACTAGTGGACTTCAACTCCCAGAATTCCTAAGCCAGCCATGCTGAGGGGAAAGGGAGAGGTTTCCAAGCTGAGCCATGCTGGCTCAGGAATTCTGGGAGTTGAAGTCCATGAGCCATAAAAGAGCCAAGGTTGCCTACCTCTGATCTATACATTGCAATGTTTCTAGAACTGCTTTGGATTCTAAAACAGATATGGGTCGTCTTTGTTATTGGTGGGTTCAATATCTGCTAATTCACTGACGCCCTGAAATATAAACCCTAAATCCATATTTCCTAGTTCTTTGCAGACACGCACTGACTCGCTAGAGCAGTGGTTCTCAACCTTTTTAATGCCGCGACCCCCAACCGGTCGTAAGTCGAGGACTAAACCAGTCGTAAGTCGAGGACTAAACCGGTCGTAAGTCGAGGACTAAACTGGTCGTAAGTCGAGGACTAAACCGGTCGTAAGTCGAGGACTACCCAACCGGTCGTAAGTCGAGGACTTTCCCTGCCCGGGAGCGCCGCGCATGCGTGGTTCCGCCCCCTGCGCCGGCAGAGGCGTAGCTGGCAAGCGGCAGAGACGGAGCAGGCCGACCACCAGCTGGCCCAGCTCAAGGGAGGTAAGGCACCCGCCGGAAAAGGGGAAAAAAAATGGCAGACAGCCTTGCTTGGCGACCCCCGTGAAATGGTCGATCACTCCAAATGGGGTCGCAACCCATAGGTTGAGAACTGCTGCGCTAGAGGATAAACTGTAACCCTAAATCAATACTTCCTAGTTCTTCGCAGACATGCACAGAGGGGCAAAAACTTTGAGCTGACACTCTGCACATTTTCTCTGATACTTTACAAAGCCCTAGTAAGACCACACCTGGAGTATTGCAGCCAATTTTGGTCACCATATCACAAAAAAAGATGCTGAGAGTTTGGAAAAAAATTCAGAGAAGAGCAATTAAGATGATCAAAGGCCTGGAGGCTAAAACATACGAAGAACGGCTGCAGGACTTGGGTTTGGCTAGTCTAAAGAAAAGAAGAAATAGGGGAGACATGATAGAGTGTTCCAGTATCTGGGGGGCTGCCACAAGGCAGAGGGGGCCAGGTTGTTCACCAGAGCACCAGAAGGAAGGACAAGAAACAATGGTTGGAAGATGATCAAAGAGAGAAGCAACCTGGAATTAAGGAGAAACTTCCTGACAGCGAGGACAATCAACCATTGGAACAGCTTGCCACCAGAAATCGTGGGCGCTCCATCACTGGAGATTTTTAAGAAGAGACTAGACATTCACTTGTCTGAGATGGTACAGGTTCTCCTGCTTGAGCAGGGGGCTGGACTAGAAGACCTCCAAGATCCAAGGTCCCTTCCAGCTCTATTCTATTCTACATATATGCTGGTTGCCAAGTGCCCAAATTTTGATTATGTGGGGATGGTGCAGTGATCTGGACTACTGTAATGCTCTCTACATGGGGCTCCCCTTGAGGAGCATCCGGAGGCTCCAGCTAGTCCAGAATGCGGCCGCGCGGGCGGTGTTGGGAGGGACTCGTCGCTCCCATATAACACCGCTTTTGCGTGAGCTGCACTGGCTGCCGGTGGCCTTCCGGGTGCGCTTCAAGGTGTTGGTTACCACGTTTAAAGCGCNTTTATGATTCGTGGACTTCAACTCCCAGAATTCCTAAGCCAGCCACCCTAAGGGGAAAGGGAGCGGTTTCCAAGCTGAGCCATGCTGGCTCAGGAATTCTGGGAGTTGAAGTCCACAAGTCCACAAGAGCCAAGGTACCCCTGACCTAGGACGAAGATTAAGAGCAGGGGTCTTCAAACTTGCCCCTTTTATGACTTGTATAGGGTTTCCTACCTGAGCAGGGGGTTGGACTAGATGACCTCCAAGGTCCCTTCCAACTTTTTTATTTTTATTTTTTATTATTATTATTATTATTATTATTATTATTATTATTATTATTATTATTATTATTATTATTATTATTATTATTATTATTATTATTATTATTATTACCTGAGTGAGTGCAAATGGGTGTGGAGCTTTCTTGGCTGCAGGATGTTTTCTGCCCTGTGTCCCTTCACTGCTGAAGACTGCTGTTGGACACAGGTAAACCTCCAAGTGGCCTCAACGACCCTCTAAAACAGTGTTTCTCAAAGTTGAAGTCCACGTGCCTTAAAATTGTCAAGGTTGAGAAACACTGCTCTAAAAGAAGGCAAATGATTCCAAATGATTCCAATTCCAAGGCTCCACACCCATTTGCACTACTCAGGTGACCCTGAGGACACAGATAAACCTCCAGGTGGCCTCAACGACTCTCTAAAAGGATGCAAATGACCAGCTGTCTGCAAGGAGTATAAATCCTTTCCTTCCCCACCATCCAGTCAGAGCTGAAGAAGCTTCTTGGATGAGAAGGACAATCAATCAGTGGAACAGCTTTCCCCCAGAAATCATGGATGCTCAATCGCTGGAGATTTTTAAAAAGAGACTGGACAATCACCTGTCTGAGATGGTATAGATCCTCCTGCTTGAGCAGGGGGCTGGACTAGAAGACCTCCAAGATCCAAGGTCCCTTCCAGCTCTATTCTATTCTATTCTATTCCATTCCATTCCATTCTATTCTATATTCTATTCTATTCTATTCCATATTCCATTCCATTCATCTAATTCTATCCTACCACCGTCTTCAGGACCGCCGCGTCGAGTTCTCCGCCTCTCTCTCTCTTAACTCTCGCGAGACGTCCTTCGCAAAGGCAGCCGACACGGGAAGAGGGTAAACGTGGAGACGGCGAAGCTGGATGGGGAAATACGCACGTAGATTTCCCGATGAAACATCCGGGTTTAGAGACGTTAGAAGAGCCCTAGAGCGGTCTGATTTCGGAAACGGAAATGCCTCTGCACTTCCGGTAAAGACGGAAACAAGGATGCCCTCAATTTTGCTCTATGGCAGGGTGTCTTCAAACTTGGCCCTTTTATGACTTGTGGACTTCAACTCCCAGAATTCCTCAGCCAGGCACGCTGGCTGAGGAATTCTGGGAGTTGAAGTCCACAAGTCATTAAAAGGGCCAGTTTTTAAGACCTCTGCTCTATGAGTATAAGGGGCCACTCTAACCTCTTACTATCTCTATGGCTGAAACGCTTGGGACGCTTTCAGAATGAAGTGAGTTTCCGCCTCTCTTTTAGGTGGGGAATAGCAGTAAGGTTGAAACGCGCCTTCTTTGGTCCCGTTCAAAATTAACCCCCCTTTTTTTTGCTGCTTTAGAAGCCATTCATAAGACAAACGGTGGTCTCGGCGCAGATTCATGACCTCATACCGGTCTCTGGTTGGCTACCAGGAAAAATTATAGATGGCGCTCCCGGGGAGGGAAGGAGCGTCGAAAAAGGGGGCCCTCACTTAAGATGGCGGACGAACGGACCTCAGTCGGGATGGCAACCTGCGAGAAACAGTGCCCTCAACCAAAATGGCGGCCAACGAGAAGAGGCGCTCGTCCCCCGCGGCGGCGGCGGCGGCACCAGCAGCAGCCGGGACAGATCAGGGCCGGTCGGCCTTGTCAGCGAACGGCGTCGCCGAAGGCGAGGCGGAATTCCTCCTGCAGTCCGGCGTGACCGACATGGTGCGAGAGGCTCTGCTAAAAGTGCTCGAAGCCCGGCCGGAGAAACCCGTCGATTTCCTGGCCGGCTACTTCGAGAAGCTGATGCAGAGCAGCCCGGAGGCGGCGACGGAGGCCTTGTCGGACGGCGGGGACCCCCAGCGGCAGCTGAGTCTCGACCGGGCCTTGTGGTATCTGGGCCTGGCCCACCATTCTCACAGGTGGGCGCGAAGAGTCCCGCATGCGAGGGGCAGAACTACGATTCCCCACGATGCAACGGGGCGACCCACGGGTGGTTCTAAGAGACTCCGCCCGCGGGGCTCATTGGGAAATGTAGTTTTTCTCTAAAGCGGCCAAGCATGGAGCTGTGGGGGGGCGTGGGAAGCACAGCAAGGACATGGAAATAACGGATTGTGCTGAGCTGCACCAGGAACTTTGACTGCATTTTAATTGTCGGTTTGGGCTAAACTTGGGGGCCCCAGAGGTCCATCTGGAGCCTGGTAGGCTATAAATCTCGGATGTTGTAGCCCATTTTGGCCAATTTAAATCCTCCATCAGACTAGCCTTGGGATAGGCAACCTTGGCTCTTTTATGACTCGTGGACTTCAACTCCCAGAATTCCTGAGCCAACATGACTCAGCTTGGAAGCCTCTCCATTTCACCCTCAGCGTGGCTGGCTCAGGAATTCTGGGAGTTGAAGTCCACCAGTCATAAAAGAGCCAAGGTTGCCTACCCCTGCCCTAGGACGAAGATTAAGAGCAGGGGTCTTCAAACGTGGTCCTTTTATGACTCATGGACTTCAACTCCCAGAATTCCTCAGCCAGCATGGCTCAGCTTGGAAACCTCTTCCTTTCCCCTCAGCATGGCTGGCTCAGGAATTCTGGGAGTTGAAGTCCACCAGTCATAAAAGAGCCAAGGTTGAAGACCCCTGTTCTTAATCTTCGTCCTAGGATAGGGGTAGGCAACCTTGACTCTTTTTATGACTCGTGGACTTCAACTCCCAGAATTCCTGAGCCAGCATGGCTCAGTTTGGAAACCTCCCTTTCCTCTCAGCATGGCTGGCTCAGGAATTCTGGGAGTTGAAGTCCACGAGTCATAAAAGAGCCAAGGTTGCCTACCCCTGGACTAGCCATTCTACGTATCTGATGAAGTGAGGGTTCATCTCACAAAAGCTGGTGCCTTTAATAAAATGTGTCATTCAGAAAAGATGCTACCACACCCCTCCTGATTTTTTTTTTTTTTGCTACCAGCTCTCTTCCTACGAAGCACAATGATTCACCCATTTTACAATTATACTGCCTACGTTACAAAACATAATTTATAATGATTAAAACTTTAAAATAATGTATGGTGTAAATCACATGGTTCATCATAAAGAATTGCAGTATAATCAGCTAAAATTATTACATCTTAATAAATGGGGAAACGGGAAGCATAGTCAGTGACTAAGGACATTTTACTTCAATTTTCAATATGCTAAATATTTGGGTATAAAGAGGGGAAACATTACATCAACCACTCAAGACTGTTAGATGGTTTTTAGGTTGAGATTAAAATTCTAAAAGAAGCACAAGGAAAAGTGAAGAAAGAAAAGAGGACTAGATTTATTAACAAAGGACATTTACAGAATAAAATATCTTGCTTTTGCATCTTACAGGAAAAGCTAAAGATTAGAGTTGGAAAAAATTCAATAGATTCTGTTAGCCGTAATCCAGAAATATTCCCCTTTATCTCGCCATTTG